TTTGGAGTGAGTTTTGGATTCAAGATGTCACTGTCAAAACTAAAGGCACTGATTCCAATGCACACATACATTTCTGAGGTTACCAACCATGTACATGTAATTATCCCAACCAAAGAGTCCCAGTCAAGCATAAGATCATTGTAATTAATGTTTGGATTCCTCCTGTCATGCCAAGTGACTATAACGCTGCAGCATATGACAGCAACGTAGGGTGTTACAAGCAACGGTGCCAAGTTCTGCCAGCTTGCCATCAAGACAGTGAGCTCTGAATTGGGTTTAGGAATGCACTCGCCAAGAAATAATGCATATGGTTATGTATATGTCATCGCTTCGTTTGGTGCTGATTTCCAAATGTCAGGCTAGAGCTTCCATTAAGCATGCCACAAGGGACTTATCAAAATATCTTGCCGAGGTCAAAATCACAGATGTTTCATCAGCTTCACACCACATGTACTTTAGTTGTAAATTTTCTGAATTTGCAAACTCGTCTTCAACATCAGAGGCCTCTCCGATCCTTTAGCTGCCAGCACATACCAGTGCATACCAGCTGCAGCTCGAAATTCCGGATCCAAAGCTGAACCTTAGGCTTAGTAATATATTACTTTTGTGGTTCCCCATCACCAACAACAGCTAAAGAACCAAATTACTGTGTGAAAACTACTTCAGTGTTATCAAAATGCTCAGTATACCGGTTGCTGTAAAACAATGGATATTGCACTGCTGTTTTGAAAATGGTGTCACTGAAACAAACAGTGTCCTCCTGACCATTAACCGCACACTTTTGAAACGTGAAATCATCACGTCATACACAACGATGAAAAATCCATGACTCCAACTGGCCTGGACTGTCAGAGCTTAACACATTCACCTACTGGAGTACTAAACTCGGCAAGAGAAATCTACATTTACCATCCAACTGAATAATAAGAAGTCAGAATTTCTTACTTCAACTAAGCTTTAGGCTAAATGTACTAACCAAATACTGACAATTGGTTCTTTCTAGATCACAAATACTGAAAAAGATATCTTCACGACATCACACAGACAAGTTACATGTACATGATTACAGCTTCTCTGTACTAAGCGTGGACTACTACACGTAGTATTTGAGAAATTACTTTATTCCAATGAGGAAAATATCCAGAAATCATTTCAAAAAATTCTTTAAATTCTCCAGACCAATATGCAGACATTGTGCATGGTAACAATTTTTTTTAAATCAAGTTCTTTCAGCATAATTGCTTAAAACAGGATCATACATGTACACAGTACATGTACTGAAAACACCCGGCACAGTAAGTGGATCCATCAACGGCAGTTCACACCTCCAAGAGAAACAAGTCAAAAATTTGATACAAAGGACTAGGTCAAACTCTTCCAAGAACCATTAATCTAGGCAAACCATAAAAGCACCGACCAAAAACACACAGATTTTCTGTGGAAATGAAACAACACTTTTCTCTTGAACTGGTACAGTGTTTGGCTGGGGGAAAATGGGACTGTCCCATTGACGATGGGGAAGTCCCTTTGACAGTGGTTTTGCAGAGAAGAAAGGATGTAATAATTTGCTTGCGTTCTAACGTAATTCTGCAATAAACTGTTGTCTCGCATTCCATAATAACGGTTCAAAAGCTTTAAGGGTCACTCTCTGGAATGTTAATGAACTCATGTGATAATCTCACAAGAAATTTCTCTTATAACTCAAACTTAAATATATTTGGTCAATGCCTGCCAATTTGTTAACATTAGGACTTCACATTTCTTACAAATGACTTTTGAAAATAAGGTGACCAAAATTACAAAAGTGTCTGGGGGAATTAAAGTACAAATTCCAATCAAATAACTGATGTTTATCAGTTGTGCTGTTTACAGGATTGGGAAGGTTCTCCAGGGTGGGTGTGCCATGCACCATCTCATAACTAAAGACGGCCAATTCTCATATTGTCTTTTGCATCTAAAACCATGGCAATCAATACACAACCTACCTTTGAGTCCCAGTCCTTGTTGAGGTAATAGATGCAAGTTACACATCGGCCGTCTTCATTGGGATTGTCAACATGCTTAACATAATGGGCTCCTCCACCAGGATAGCAAGCCACCATTGCCTGTAAATCAAACGACACCACAAAGACACATGTAACTCTTGCCCTTCAGTATTTTTCAAAGAAGCAGTTTTTCTATCCCCTATGAACAGGGGTGTAAGTTAGCTCTGACATTGTTGCCTGAGATTTCAGAATTTCTTCTCATGCAAAGTGAAAATTGTCATTAATGTTGGAGGGTGGATGGCTCTATTGCCGGTCTTCCAAGGACACTCTATTTATACCTACTGGAAACTTCAGAATAACCTTTTGAGAAACAAAAGAGGACAGCTGTCATTAAAATAAGAATACTTTGAACTTCTGAAACTGTGTTGATGTTACTGTACAGATATTCCATTTGGCTTCAAATGAAACAAGTTTGAACATACAAAACATCGATGTCAGAGTTTAATAACATATATCAATGTATGTCCCCGACTCTCCATCAAATCTGCAGCGATGATTGGATGAAAGATTTATGACCCTGTCATTACTCTCTCACGGTGCTACCTGTCAAAAAGAACACTGCCAGACTAGTGTTCAGGGTTTGCCTATAACAAGACTCAGGGAGATTCATTGGAAGATTCCTTTTTGTGGGGTTATGACTAATAATTAAACTATATGAACGCATATACATATGCCCAAAAGACTACATTTGCTGCAAGATGCATTTGGAGTACAACAAGTGAGGAATGAAGCAAGTGAGGAGAGCATGTAGATCTGACCTACAATCCAACCTAACGATATCCATGCTTCAGAAGGAAAGAACTAAACTATTCATGCAGCACATGTCCAGTTTGCAACCCGCAGTACTTTTTCAACAGCACTGACAAGCAAAAATTACAAAGCAACGTTTTCAAATGTTGGTTTAAGGATTTTAAAAGCCTCTGTTCATCTCTAGCTAACACCATTTTGGAACTTATGTCAAAGATTCTGAAATATGATATACATGTACATGTATGTACTGTGCATTTAAACAAGTACACCAACATGTACAACGTGCTCATCCATAACTCGTTTACTCAATTACTGTGTTGAATTTTTTTTTTCAATGACAAAGCAGTGCCTCCAGCACATTAAGGCACAAAAGGGTTAAATTGTCAAAATATGGGGCAAAAACAAAGACTAACCTAAAATGTAAAAAAAGATGAAATACAACATAGAGATGTTTTAAAGATTAATACTTTGGTTTTGACAATCGAAAGACAGAATGCTGGTTTCCTTATAAATTCATTTAAAGACATGTAAATAATTAGCCATACCCATCATAATCAACACAGCCAATGGGCCTCGAGCTGGACCAAGAGAGGGCACTATTTTCTCAGCAGTGGTGGCTCCTTTGGTCAGAGCTGAACATTGCTGGTTCATGAATGAATAGGAAATGCAAGCATCATCGCTACCAACAAATTGAATACTGCTGACCAACACGGCTCTTTTCAACCAATGAGGAGACATTTCTGCTCGAAGCGGATAGGAAAACGATAATGCGGTTGATAAAAACCACCAAAAACTTAATGTACCAGTACGAACCCAAAACTAGCCGATCAATTAATTAAAACTGTAACTTGAAAAGAAACTCTCACAATACATTTTTAAAAAAGGACTGGCAAATTTATGGGCCTAAAAAAGAAAAGTACAGCTTTACAGACTGTAGGAAATTTTAGGCACTGTGGAAAAGTGCTCGAACAAGTTTCCTAAAAAGAATTTTTGTAGACCAGCTGCAATTTGTTCAAAATACACATCCAGCTGTTTCTGAATTATTGAGCTGTTTGTGAATCTTGCATTCTGCTACTACAGTACATGTACATGTATCTTTTCAATTGGCTTGTCATCCATCTGAAGCAACCAAAACTTAATCTAAGCACAGATGATAAATTTTACAATTTGGGAAAGCACAACAATGTTTGATATAATTATAGGTTACCTACATGTAGTGATGTCTGAACAGATCTGCATATTTCATTAAAATGCGGAATTAATTCATTTGTTTTTCCTTTAAGCGCACGGGCAATTCTACCGCTTTTTGATTTTCCCACCCCTTTTGCACCAAACCACACAGCGACCTTTGGCCCCGAGCGCATGCAAGCTTCAAGAAGCATGTCTACGTGCCAAACCAAGCATTGGCTGGTCTATTTTGGACCGAAAGCCGGTCCCGGCAGTAAGTGATTCATCCACAGCACTGCTGCAAACAGAATTCAGTTCTTGAACTCTGCTCTTCAACCGTGCCCACAAATGAGCCATGGACACTGTGCAGACATTAAAGTTGTCAAAGCTCAAAGGTGCACAGGACCCAAAGGTGCATAGGAGCATACTAAAGGCCCCGGAGGACCTTCAACCCTCCACAACTTTGTCACCTTTTGTCAAAACACCCTTTTCATGCAGCAATCCAATAGCTTGTTAATTTGTTATTTGAATTCACATACAATTTCTACAGCTTCATGTTCATGGAATTCTTTGAAATGCATAATTTATTCTTCCCCTTATGTTTAAATCATTATTGGTAATTTTTGTCCACTATTTGAGCACATCATTAAGGTGGATCTTGTGTCTTATTAATTTCCTGCACTGTTATTGGCACATTTTAACATAACTGTGTTCATGGAAATGTTCATGCAAAGTGTAAAATGCTGGAAGTACATACGCCCTGTTGCACCTCTTCTGAAACACTTTAATGCCTGTCAACGACCACTCACAGAGCAAAGGTTAATGAACATGTTATCTTTCAAATGAAGCTACCGGTAGCATCATTTATCCGAGTGAAATGTAGAACCATTTATTTACCTTGAAATTGTATAAAAATTTGAAGTCGTGAAGAGAACACTGGTGAACATAAAATGGTGTTTAAAAATATTGGACCATAAAAATACAATCTTCTTGTGTTTGTATGGAAAACAAATTAGGGTGGGTAAAGCCTTTTCTAAACTTTGTCTTTTGCTATAAATTTTCTCCCAGGAAATATTCAGGTGAGATTATAAATACTTCATATTTTTTAGTAAGAGAGTAGCAGTTTATTCCAGTTGCTTACTACTTCTCATTAAGACTATATTCACTAGCGGAGTGGTTAAGGAATGTCTGATTCTGGAAAACAGGTGAATGTGGGAACCAACGATGCATCAACAAGCCACTTTCAAGCCTGTAGTAGCCTAAAAGATAAAATGAAAATAAAAATATTCAAAGTATACAGATTGACATGTACAACAGATGGATTTGAACAAACACCACAAGGTTTTAAATTTAAGTAACTTTTTCATTAAAAGATACAGTTTTGTTGTGATTTTTTTGAAACACAGGTAATCTTTGTTTGGCCTGAAATTCGACAGCTGGCAAATTGTTAGGTTGCTCCTAGCAGCAGAGTACATTGAACATGCATCTGACACTACAGTTTGTCAACTCTAGGATATGTAAACATCTCATACCACAGTGACGAGTGCATGTATGGATACTTGCGGATTATGTTGTCAATAACATCCAAGTGCTAGAACTACTGACTGCTCCCACTTGACTTCCGGGCTCTGGCCTCGGAATTAGTTGGGAAAAAAGCGGCTAAAATGCTCACATAAATCTCCCATGAGCTTCTTTTTGTCATGTTGAGCATAACTGGTATGCACAAATGTGGAGTAAGACAAGAAAAGAGAGCTCTTAACCTTGTCGGAAATAGAGGAAAGATAAGAGTAAATGTCTCTCTGTGAGGATACTTACGTTGTACATAAAGTTTTTAAAGTGTCTAATGTCTTTATAGACATCAAACTCCCACGGATCAAAAATACAAGCAATGGGAGATTAAACCCAACTTTCTGTCCTTAACATTAAGCATGTCTCTCACACATACACACCAAAAAAAAAAAAAAAACGGACACAATTGAATACATCAGATGTAGTCAAGTTACAGGTTAATGTACATACAGTATTTGGCCCCGATCCAGATAAGTTTCAAACTACATGTATTTACATGTACCAAGCAATACTTACAGTGACAGAGGACTTGTCATCAACAATGAGTGTGCTTTTTTAACTGGTGTCCGGCTTTTGCTAAAAGCCTGAAAAGTTCTGCTTCCCATAATATGGCATGGCATCTATGAACATGTATAAACAGGGGCAGGTTGCACCTATCTGCACCACCTTCAAACTCAAAAAAAGACACTTTTTTTAGCATTGTTTCCAATTTTATTTTTTCCCAAACTACACTCCCCCCCAAAAAAGTGGGGGGTTGCACCATCAAAATCTGTTAAGCAGGTCAACGGGAAACATTCCCGGTAACTAAATTGTTTTTTGCCTATCAGCACTGTTTCCTGTGTTTAGCCAATTCTCCTACAAGCTGAGAAATATTGTGAAATCAACTCCAAGATTTAATTCTGAGCAGAAGTGTAATAACGATGGCATCTGCAGGTGATTCACAATTACAGAATCCTCAATGGAGTGGCATCTTATATAAACATGTACATGTACATGATTTGCGTTCAGAATCCACTGCGAATCCCTCTATACAAAAAGAAACAAAATGCAGGATCAATATTCAATCCAATCTATGTGTACACATTTCAAAATGTAGAAAAATATACATGTAAATACATGCGTGGCTCAAAGAATTCATCATGAGACCATGTGACGATTTGTAATCATTCTCTTTTTAAACACGGCGATTTGCAGCTACCGTACCATCCATCATTTGTTGCTGATTCCCACATATGGAAAAGATCAATTCAGTTTGTGACATGCGGGGAATGCTATTTAAAGACATTTCAGGAAACAACATAAAACTGGGGTTGTCCTATCTTTGAACTCACAATGGAGAATTGACTAGTCTCCAGAATTACATAAACCCCGCTCTGCCTGAGAATCAACTCAACAGGGGACTATAGCAGGCTAGTACAGAGAATGGGTTCATCAAATACATGGACCTTGAGTCACAAGTCCAATTTCAAGCTCTTAAATTGTAGCACAGACTCAAAAGCTTTCAGTTTTGAGATTTATCATTAGAGCTTTGTTCTGTAGGTTTTTACTCCAACAAGCAAATGTTTAGGGTACAG